CAGTGATTCCAACTGTGAAAGCCTTCGACAATACACTGAATTCAATTTTGCTCTAGCTCAAAGATGGCGAATCTGCAGCATGCAAACTGTATGCAGTCCATAAACTCCACTTCTGTGGGCTCTGAAGTCCATTGGCTATTCCGCACGAGCTTCCCCCAGTTCCCCCATTCTCCAGTCAATTAGGGGCTCAAAAATGGCCCCAAACTTGCCAACATGGTTTTTTTCATTACTTTATTCCTCTAGAACAATGGTTCTCAACCTGTGGCTCCCCAGGTGTTTTGGCCTTTAACTTCCAGAAATCCCAGCCAGTTTTCCAACTGTTAGGATTTCTGGGATTTGAGGGCCAAAACATCTGGGGACCCATGGGTTGAGAACCACTGCTCTAGAACCTTACGAACCTTTTCCCCAGACTAAAACCAGCCTCAAATGGTGTTAGGAAGGGGTTTTATATGTGTCAAGAAGAACTGGTATCGTCCACTGGAAAGCCAGAGAGAAAAAGGGTCCCTGTCCCCATGGAGCTGCCTCATTAAAAGGTGTTTTAAAAACACAGAGGCACAAATACAGGTAAATGAAACCTCCTCCTTTATGTTCTTTGAAATTAGCCCTGAAACCCTCAGGAAAATGTAGTACATATATGTAGGGCTCCTGGTGGTGCAGCGGGTTAAACCACTGAGCTGCTGAACTTGCTGACCAAAAGGTTGATGGTTCAAATCCGGGGAGCGAGGTGAGTTCACGCTGTTAACCCCAGCTTCTACCAATGTAACAGTTCAGAAATATGCAAATGTGATTAGATCAATAAGTACTGTTTCTGAGGGAAACAGTACTTATGTGAGTAGATCAATAGGTGCTATTCCTGCAAAAAGTTCGGTTGAATGACCCTTGGGGTCTCTTCCAAATCTAGGATTCTATGGCCTTTTTTGTCCTTTAGAGTTAGGTATCCATCTTGGCTGCTTGCTGCATTTCCAGAAGCAAGCACTGCTACCAAGTCCACCATGGAAGACCTTGGAGACATCTACGGACAATGCCAGCTCTTCCGTTTAGAAATGGAGATGTGCACCACCTCTTGGAGTCGGATACAACTAGACTTAATGTCAGGGAAAACCTTTACCTTTACAATATGTATGTGTGTGAATCACAAGCAAGACCCCCCAGTTCAGTAGCCTGAATACATGGCACCAAAATACAGAAAAAATCTCTGTGAAGAGCAGCAAACATGCACAAAGACATTTTCCTTTCCAAATGCATGAAAAGTTTAAATTCAAAGAATATCAGCCTCGGGCATTCAGAACTAGATGTTGTTCCTTGGATTCTGTTTTGCGGTATGCTGAATGGCTTGAATAATATTATGACAAACGAACAAAAGGGAAAGGGTTAATTTTAAGCCTAGAACTGCGGAAATCTACCTCTGAAACCTTCCTGGCTAATTCATAAAAGGAGATGACAGGACAAAAGCAACTGGCTTGACTCTAAGAAGACAATTCCCCGGCTGCTTGCACCGAGTGCAGTTCCACCAACATCAATAGTAGTACAACTCTCCCACTGCCCTCAAAAAGAAGAAGACACGTCTTGCTTTGGTAGACAAAGAAACGTACAGAAGAGGCAAGGCTCCAAAGAATGTCTCTTAGTTGATGTTATCCCTCTTGCTAAACAAACAGAAAGCGTAGGCGAGTGTCCACAGATAAAAGGCGGGGGAAGGCAAGAAAGATCCCTGGCAGAGAACAGAAGGAGAGCAAACTGGTGGGGTGCCTCAGGCAGACAGGATGTGAAAAATGATCAGATTTCTTTCCCATTAAAGGATGTGTCCCTGTTTATGTCCAGTGCATCATCTTCTCCATGCTGCAGCAGTCTAATGGGCTCAGTCGGGAGCTAAATAGATCTTTGATTGTATTATCAGCAATTTCTTATTACAGCAGAGGTCTTCAGGCTGCTTTAAAAAGATGGGCAATTTTCTAAAAGCTAAGAGTTACATATATAAATAGGGTTTAAAAAGAAGGTACTGCCAGATGTAAGTACATTACTCGATTACAGCCTCAGTAGGATCTCAGCCATATACTGGGAATGGCCAATGTCTCCAATTAGATGGCTTGTTGATTGGCATGACAATGCTATTTTGGGCGGGGGGGGGGGGGGGGGGTTCATTACTGGGAAACCTGTTCTTCCTTGCATTTGAACACATCTCTGGAAATACACCGAGAGCCATTAAAGATCATGCTAAAATAAATTAATTACAGTTGTCCTTCCGTATTTCTGGTTGTGGCTTTTGTAGATTTGATTATTCAAAGATGTGGTTAAAATGGTCTGTTTAGGAATCTGTAGGTCCTCCAGCATGACTTCCTCTGGTCATGCTGGAGGACCTAGAAATTCCTAGAAATAACACCTCTCTAGGAATCTCTGTAATGTTGGAGAAAAATTCTAAGAGTGCCTTGAACTGCGAGAAGACCCAACCAGTCCATACTTCAGGAAATAAAGTCCGACTGCTCATTCGAGGAAGGATATTAGAGGCAAAGATGAAGTACTTTGGCCACATCATGAGAAAAAAGTAAAGCTTGGAGAAGACAATGATGCTGGGGATAATGGAAGGAAAAAGGAAGAGGGGCCAACCAAGGGCAAGATGGATGGATGGGATCCTTGAAGTGACTGGCTTGACTTTGAAGGAGCTGGGGGTGGTGACAGCTGACAGGGAGCTCTAGCGTGGGCTGGTCCATGAGGTCATGAAGAGTTGGAAGTGACTGAACGAATAAACAGCAACAACAGGAATCTCTGTGTCCTCCAGTGGACCGCAAATGTTGACCATGGAGTCATGCTGGAAGGCCTAGAAATTCCTAATTAGGTGTTATCTTGTAATGTTGTTATTCAACGTTTTTTTTTTCCACATTCACGAGAGTCCTCAGCGAATGTGACGAGCTGGCTGTAGACTTGAAAAATACTGACAGATTCCTTGAATGCCATCAAATCTGGACACTTCTAAAAATGACATTTTATAGTAACTTCTGAAAGTAATAAGAAACCGCAACTTGTAACATCAAAAGAACTTAGCTTCATTTTTGCTCATTATTGTTACTTTTGAAACGTAGTTTTATTCAGCTCTCTTTGTTTGGCCTTGGATTATAGAGTAAATAGTTTAGGGTGTCTGTGTTACTTACAGCTAGTGATTTCCAAGCTCTGTCTGGAGACTGAGAGACTGAGAGCCCCTTTTCTAAAAAGAAAACTTTGTGCTAAAGAGAGACCCAAAGAATATCTGTTGACCTATGACTATTAATAGTACACATTGCTGTTTGCTTTTACATACATGTGCTAAGAGAAATTTAAATGTGTGTGAGAGAGAACCTTCAACTTATGGTGGTCTCATGAATTTGGTAGGATTTTCTTACACAAGGAATTCTCAGACATTGTTTTGACAGTCACTTCCTCAGAATTACAGCTGACAGAACCTCATGTAGCACACAGCTCCAGGCATTCATTGGCAGACTCCCATCCAAGTACTAATCAGGACTGACCCTGCTTAGGCCTCCAAGATCAAACAGTATTTACAACACAATGATTAGCTGCATTACCTTTTAGGCTAGGAATCATAGGGGTTTGTAACCATGTCATCCCTTCTGCAGATAGCACTCTCAAATTTTTCTATTTTTTATTGTTTAGAAGAAGTGATATAATGTGCAGGTTTTGTGATTTAATTATTAGACAGGGCCATATGACATTTTGACATGGTTTCTGCCTTCCATTGCACTTTTATGTTAGCAGCTTCACTACAGTTTGTATCCAGATTTGTTTTCATTAATACTTTTCATTGTGTACATATTTTAAAGTTGATTGATATTTGTCGCCATCCCATGTTTTGAAATGTGACTTCTTGTTTATTTTAGCACTGAAGAGGAAGCTTTAAATGGAAACACGCTGACATTTTATGCCCCTGATAATCTGATTCCTAAAAAGTTGCCTATTTATCAACATTATTTTTGGGACTTGCAAATTTTCAACCATACAAGTAATTGCCCCCCCCCCTTTCTTTCTGTAATATATCCTGCATTTAAAAATAAGCCCACATTCTGGGTGGGAATAAAATGTTGTTGCTGGTCCAGGGAAATTCCCCCAAAGATCTGGCACAGTAGAAATGTTATTGGGGTTGTTTTTTTAATAAAAAATAATAAAGAAGAGCTAGAATAACAGATATGACAACTATAATGAGCTGGGTCTATTCCACCAGGCAGATGGGCTTGGTTAGCATCAAGGCCAAACATCAACAGCTGTCCCATAGCACGAAAGACTCAATTTGTATTAGTGGCCTTGCTTGATACTTTTATGCATTAGCTTAGTGCTTTGAGACTGGAAAGATATATATGATATGCACCTAAGATGTATAGGAAACATAAATTAATTTTGTGTTTCAACTTGGTTCCCATCTCCAAGACATTTACTTATCTAGAAGAAAAGATTCCAAAAGCAGGGGGGGAAATCCAAAACACTTCTGGCCCCTGAGCATTTTGGATGAAGAATACTCAAACCTATACTCTTAAATAAGCAAGGAACCATTCAAAGCAGCAATTAGAAACCAAGAGTCTGTACAGACCATGTTTGGTGATGGCTCTACAATACACCTTTTGAATTTTCAGAAGCAAGGCTTTAGTAAGCAGGAAGTCACTTTCCCACAAGACATCCTTCTAAAGCTGTTAAATGTATCTTGAAATGATTGGAGCATATAACTTAGAGCTCAAAGAAAACACTACATCATGGGCAAACCTTGACCCTCCAGGGTTTTTGCACTTCAACTCCCACAATTCCTAATAATCAGTAAGCTGGCTGGCATTTCTGGAAGTTGAAGTCCAAAACACCTGGAGGGCCAAAGTTTGCCCAGGCCTGCACTACAGGGTCCTCCCATAACCTCCTCCCTCTCAGATATTTTACCAAAATAGAAGAGTTCGTATAAAGTGAGCATTTTAAAAATGATTTGATTGCACCTCAAGACAGGGCCAAAGCTGAGAGAAAATATTAATCCTTACCTGTCACAATGGTTGCACTTAAAGGGCTTGGCCCCCGTGTGTTTCCTGTAGTGCCGCGTGAGTTCATCACTTCGCGCAAAACGCCACTCACACCCTTCCCATGAACACTTGTAAGGCTTCTCACCTGCAGAAGACAGTAAAGGGGTCATGTTAGAGCTGAGCCAAAAATAAATCAATAGTTAGGGTCGCTGTGATAGTATAGCCATTTCAAATGGCTTGGAACCCACAAATGAGATGAAAAGCTTTCATTTTCTACTCCCAACCTCACCTGACTCTGCCTTTCCCAATATCCCAGCAATGGGAGTGTGAGAGATGAACACATTCAACAGCAATGCAACACATCAAAGGCTACTCAATTGTAGTGCTCAGTTATACTGCATCTTGGACAGCACTGTTATGTGTCAGAAGCTACTCAGTTATAGTGAACCTCCATGGCTACACCCTGAGGAATCCTGCTATTGACAGGTAATGGAGAGATATGTTGAATTATCTGTGTGTATGTAACTTGTCAATTTATGTCAATCCATGAATTTCTTATGGCTGTCTAATGTAAGCAATACCTAGAGGTGGTTTTGTTAGTGCTTTCTTCGGATATGTAGTCTACAACAGCTGGCATTCATTGATGGTCTCCACTCTAAGGGCTAAGAATGGCCAAACCTACTTAGCTTCCAAGAACAGATGGGATTCTGGTGCCTTCAGGGCATTTAGGTACCTCTGACCAACCTACAATCCATAGTAGTATTCCACAGGATGCAGACAAGTAGATAAAGTGTTGTAACTGTGCAGCATAAAATGCCCCAGTAGCAAACTGGAGCAGATGTAGAGCATATTACCACAAAAAACTACTCACAGATGTACGAGGGTTGAATGAAAAGTAATGCCTCTACCTTTGTTACTTGGGTTTGGATGGGAATATTTTAATAAATCAAATGCAGAAATAATTCTTAGAATGTGCTATTTAACTACCACTATTCACTTTTTGACATAATCACCAGACAATTGGATACATTTCTTCCATCAATGAACAAGTTTTCTGAAACTGTCACAGAAGAAGTCAACACTCTGTTTCCACAACCAGCATCTCACAGTTTTCTCAACGCCTTCATCAGAAGCATAATGATGTCCCTGCAGATCTTCTTTCATTATTGGGAACAGATGGAAGTCAGACGGTGCTAAATCTGGACTGCATGGAGGATGTCGCACGGTGGTGAGATCCAGTCTCTGAAGTTTCAAGTCTGCGTGCTTTCAGTTCAGGCATCAGCATCCTGGGTACCCATCGTGCACAGATCTTCCGATAGCTAAGCAAAGCAATAATGTGACCCACACGTTCTTGTGAAATGCCGATTATGCTTGAAATTTCTCTCTGAGTAATACGACAATCGTCCTGAATCAATCTGTCAACCTTTTGCTTGTGAAACTCGGTGGTTGGTCTCACAGGGTGTCCAACTCTTTGTTTGTCACACAAGTCAGATGTTCCCACCTCAACATCTTTAAACTTACTCGCTCAACGATGCACAGTACTCACATCAAGACAGTTACCATAAACAGCTTGGATTCTCTGATGAATCTCCTTTGATTTGAAACCTTCTGCTGTCGCACTAACTGATCCTCTGCGCAGGGTTCCATACTTTGCACTTTAACAACACAACCATTCAGTGCTAAGACTTCCCACCAAAATGGAACTGTAGAGGAGAGTCTACTGAATAAGCTAGTACCTGCCACATACCAGTACTGCCATCTGTTGAGGAGTTATGAATGTGGAAGCATTACTTTTCATTCCACCCTCATACTGTTTCTGATAGTCTGCTCCTCCCTTTTTAAAATCCTTCTAGTGCTTCTGATTGCAGAAGTAGTCAAGGTTCAAAAACAGAATTTTCAAACACCATCAAAAGAATAAGTGTACACCCAAGGACAAAGTTTCAGTGATGTTCATAGTTCTTGATCCTTTCCTATAACGATCATATGAAATATTACACAAATGCAATGAATATTTGCATAAATGCAGCATATGTTCTTCATTTGCATGATTTATTCATCTTGCAGAGTTGGAATTTTTTTGTGTGGGATGGGGACTTACAGCATATTCACACAGCCTGAACATGACATTCCTTAAAGAAGGGGATCACTACAGTGAAATAAATTATTTTAACATTTCAATCATTCCCCCTTATTTTTAAAAACAGTCATTTGATAGAATTTCCTTTTCACATTCATTCCCTGATTCCACAGAGCAACTGGCATATTGCACGGATGAGGCAAGACGTGCACCAACTGACAGCTTGTGTGACTAATTGTGATCATTGGACACTCAGACCAAGTACACAATAGTGGGCTCATTCAAGGATGAAATATTTCAAAGTGTCATTTAACTAGAGTCATTACTTAATTAAATCTTTCTTCAAATTATTAAAACCAACATGTCTTCTTCTATCTAATGACCATGTGGGCATGCTGGCCAATTTGATTAGCGCAAGAGAGGAGGCATTTTAACACTTCGCCCCCCCCCTTTTTTTTCTCAATCAACACTTCCCTCTCAGATACCTCTATCCACTTACCCTCTCCCCCACCCCTTCTCTCCCACGTGAGCAAAATGAGGAAGGGGGAAAACAGCTGGAGCAGAGGATCTTGACTGAAAAACTAGCGTGGAAAAGAGCTTTTCAGAAAAAATCTATCCCAGTCATTGCCATTGCTTCAATTAAACTGAAAATGCTCGGTGCACATGTTTCATTAAAAAGCATGTGATCAAGCCCCTTTCGAAAGGCCAACTCCCAGTGGTGCCCAGCACTCACTACTGGAAAAAGTCACATAACTGGTGAAGAAGACCCAAGCCACTGTAATGTATTCAGTGGAAATAGTTTCAAATCTTGCATTGTACTTATATTGGTAATACGGTTTCTATTATTGATTTATTTTTTTCACTTTTAATTCCATATGATGTGTATCTTCCCTGACCCTCTTGCTTCTATGTGAGTTTTCTGGGTTCTCAAAGGAATTCCTAATTGCTTGCTTGCAGAATTTAATATATCATGGGCTGTAATTCACAATTTATTTATTTATTTACAGTATTTATATTCCACCATTCTCACCCCAAAGGAGGTTCAAAGCAGATTACAGAACACATATACGGCAAACATTCATACACTGACAAGGCAGGCAACTGTACATAGATAGAGGTGTATATATAGGCTTTTCCATCTTCGGCATCTTGGAAGCTGTGCTCGGTTCCAGGCACAGGGGGTGCTATTGCTCCATCTTCCCTACTAAAGAGCTTTGTTCGTAAACTTCCTCCTTGATCGAATTTCTGGCATTTTTCCTTATGAGTGCCTTAAATACCTCCCCACTTTGAAGTGGTACCTATTTATCTACTCACATTTGTTTTTGAAATGCTTGGTAGGCAGAAGCTGAGCTAAAGGCCAGAAGCCCACCCCAACCCAGGCTTCGAACTGTCAATCTTTCGATTGGCAAGATTTACTACAGTTGTGTTAAAGCCTGGCCTCAGTACCCACTAAGATGTCATATCCTCATAAACAGGTGGGTGACTTATACTGGTACGTCTATATATTTTCTTAGATTTGTGATGTAAATTGAGTCTGACATAACTGGGAGGAACTATAAGGAAACACTGGATAATTGCAAGGATGCATTCTGATGGAACCATAAAGTTATTTTTTTTCAATTCACTAATATTTTTTAAAAATATTGAAGTATAATACATCAAATTTTATATTTAAGCTGCTAGATTAAAACCCTCACTTTCAGGTGATAACACCTGGCTGGTCATTCCTCCACACATAAGCAAACGACGAAACCCCTTACAGTCCCACAAAAATTCGAAGTTTCTAATGTCTTTATCCCCTTCCCTTCTAAGTAGGCAAAATGATCCCTTCCTCCGAGGCATAAATTCAGCTTCTTCCTTCCCATTATGCCTCCTTTTCTAGGCAAGCAAAGAAAATTTCTTCTTTCTAGCAGTACCGAGACTGCAATAGCTTTCCACCTCATACCTTAAGGAAGAGACTTTCATTTATTTATTACTGCAGAAATATTGTAAAATCAAAAGGCTGAATATGAGGCAGCATTTGTTAAGACTTCCCTGTATTTTCCCTGCTAGTAACAGCTACTATGTATATGGATGAATGAAAATAATTCTGCTAGGAGAACAAAGGAACATGCTTCTTTTTCATCACAGTCAGGATAGATAATAAAAAATATCTGAATATTCAAAGAGCTGGGAATAATTTCTCTGGCTGGCCATCGACTCAATGACTACATAGGTGAAAAGTCATGGTCTAATTAGAAGTAGGGCTTAGTATAAGGTTTGGAAGGAAGGGGTAGATAAAATATATAGAGGGAGTTACATATTTTACCCTATCTATCTATCTATCTATCTATCTATCTATTTATCTATCTATCTATCTATCTATATCTATATATATAGTAAAATAGGTTAAAGTTTTTGTTATTTATTATAAATATACCCATGTATTTGTTATAATACATTTAATACTAGTAAATGAAGTTACTATGATTTATTAAGATTAATTGCTATTTGAAAATATTACTTTGTTTTAATGTATGATATATTATTGTGTTAATTACAATGCTTTTAGCATTTAAAGTGATTCATTGTAAATTTAATTTAATTATTCTACTGTTGTTTTGAATTAATTAAAATATAATTTGTAATGCCACCGAATTTGGGAAGCATATGAACCAATGGGAACAACAGCACCACAAGCATTTGGATGCTGGTGGTGCTGTTGTTCCCATTGGTTTGGGTGCTTCCTAAGTTCAGTGACATTTCAAATTATATTTGGCTGCTGTTGAGCCGTGGTGGCGTAGTGGGTTAAACACTTGTGTTGGCTGAACTGCTAACCTGAAGGCCGGCAGTTCGAATCTGAGAGACGGGGTGAGCTCCTGTCTGTCAGCTTCAGCAGGGACACGAGATAAGCCTCCCACAGGATGGTAAAACATCCAGGCATCCCCTGGGCAACATTTCTGCAGATGGCCAATTCTTTCACACCAGAATCAACTTGCAGTTTCTCAAGTTGCTTCAGACATGAAAAAAAAATGGCAGGTGTCCTTTGAAATGCCTGGAAAAACAAGGTTTCCAAAGAAAAGGTTTCC